CGGGCCCGGCCCGGGGCGGCGGTCGGGGCTGCCGAGGTTCCGGGACCGGCCGGAGGGGCTCCAGGAGAGGCCGTTCCTCTCCCGGCCCACCGACCAGGGAAGTCCACTGACCAGTCCTTAAGCCAGGTCTTCCTCTCTCCGAAACCTTGTCAGCATCCTGGCTGACGTTTTATGGTATTTATTAAAGACCTAGGAACAATGAGGCCAATATCCGAGATACTCATTGAAGGCTCGGAAGAGTTAGGTACAGCTGACCACACTGTTGAACAGTCACAAACGCACCCAATTTGAACAAGAACGGTGTTGAGCCTTGGAGCAGGCTGGAGGCCCTTGGGTGAGAAAAACAGCCACATCCGGGATTGGGAGGATTTACTACTTCCAAAGACAGATAAATTAATAGAAGTTGCAAAAGGTGTAAAAGTGTGGGGTGGACAGGTTTATTATTGTACACGGTGATTTTATTTTTTGACGTGCTGTAACTTGTAGCCATTTTTATTAATGGGGCAATCTAAACAGGGTTGAAAGATTCACTGTGACTCCGCCCCAAGTCACGATAGGATCTTGTACTTCTCTTTTTATAGCTGCAAAAGCTGGGAATCATTCTTGGCTCTGTGTAATGTTTATGAGGTATGTCTGATCTCATTGAAAGAAATTTTTAAAAAAAGAGTTTGAAGTTTGTTTATGATAGCAATAAAAGTACTCTATTCCTGGATTAAAGTTGCTGTAATTAATGAGAAAAGAGAGCCAAAGGAAACTGGTGACATTTTAAAGAAGAGTATTGAAAAACCATTACAGTGCCACACCACTTTACCGTTCAGCATTTTCACGCCCATTTCGTTTGGCCTTCACAACACTTATGTGAGGGCCATATAGAGGATCTCGTTATTTCATGAATGAGAAGACCAAAGCTCAAAGAAACTATCCACATTCTCATAAGTAATAAATAGTTGAGAAGACCTCTGAAACCAGCAGTCAACCTACTGCAGAGACTGAACTTTGGAAGCCTGTTTCTCAGCACTCTCTACCTTATCCATTCAGATAAGCGTTTGCACTGACCAATAACTGCTCAGCAGCTTCTGGTTACCTGTGGCCAGTTTGAATGTATGACCAGTTGTTCTCAAAGTGTGGTCCCAGGGCCAGCTGTGTCAACATCACCTGAGAACGTGTTAGAAATGCAAATTCTCAGGCACCGCTCCAGAGACACTCCGGGCACAGGACCCAGCAATCTGTTTTAACAAGCCCTCTGGAAGACTCTAATGTACCTTAAAAGTTGCAACTACCACTGTAGAACGGCATCCCCAGCCTTGATTTGTTTCCTCATAACCACAAAGCCATTGAATTCCAATAAGATACCTTGAAACTGAGAGATATGAAGAAATACTGGCCAAAATATACTTTTAAATGTATTAGTATGTCTAAAAGCTAAATTAAGATTGAATAATGCAATTTTACAATGAACATAGTGGCCATGAGGCTTGGTCATAGACTAAAGAAATTGTCAAGTGTTCATATGTTTCTTCTGAAGGAGACAGGAAAGTTCTCAGAGCAGATTTTGGAAGTGATCCCAAGCTTTCCAACACAAAGACAGATATAAACAAGGATAAAATTCCCCAAACCACATCGGTTTCCACACCAGCAAATATCTGCTGTAGTTTAATGTAAAAGGATTAACTGTAATAGGGATGAGGTGGACTGGAAAAAGTGGAGACTAGAACTAGATACATCCTTGGAATTAGAGGCAGACCCAGCTGGCGTGATGAGTTGGCAGCCAGAAGACAGTATCTGGAGGGTATGGAACGGAGAGCAACCAGGAAGGCAGCCAGCATCAGTCTGGTTCAGCATGGAGAATGCGAGTGTTGTAAGTCAATGGGCAGCTGGAACACAGCCTTGGGAAATCCAGGAGCAGACAAAAATTGGGAAATCACAGCAAACATTAAGAAAATATGTTGCTTATAGCAAGGCCCCAGCCTCAGTGCTGTCTTCCAGGTCTGGATTCCTCTCCCCCTAGGGAATCGATGAAAACAAATGGAATTCAGGTCCTTGAGGCGAGGTACTGGGCAAGTTTTGGGGGCAAGGACTTGGGCTCAGGGCAACAAGATCCAAAGTCCAGTCTTGGCGGACAGAATGAGACTTGGAAACAATGCAGAAGTTTGATACCTAGAACTGAGACAGAATTTCACGCTAATCATGGTTGCCTTATGTTGAGTTCCCAGGGTGTTAGTATAGAACTCCAGTTCCCCTCCATTATGGCTGGGATTGACCCAGGAGCCTAGGGATGGGAGTCACATGGCACCAGCCACTGAGTATAAAGGGGTCAGCAGGATGGGCAGGCCCAGAGGGTAGAAAAGGCAGTTATAGCCTACGTCATTCAGCTCTGAACTGGTAAAAGCATTTTAGAAAAATGCTAATTAATTGGCTTAGGGAGCTAAGAAAGAATTCAATGAAATGGATGACCTTTCAAAAGACTGACTCAGACCTTGGAGTGGGGCTGGGAGGGGAGAGAATCCTACAGTGCTTTTTATCTGTAGCTTTCAAAATGTTTATGAATGCTGCCATAACAAGCTTCCTATTTTATAAACAGGAAGCCAAGGCACAGAGAGTTAAATAGTTTGCCCAAAGTAACATATTCTATCATACTCATAAAATATGAAAGGAGAACAAAACCTAAGGAATCTAATTTGCTAAGTGTTAACCCTCTTAGCCGTGCATAAAAGCCATTAATTATGTTACACTTAGCATGTCAAAGTTAGCAGCCATGACGTACTACCAAACCACCACCTGACATTTGCTCATCTTTCAGCTAATTCTATTAAAATAATACTTCCTGACTAGCTTATAGGCCCCTTGAGGACTAGGAATGCTCTGACAGCAGATGCTCACTCCTGCCTGAAAGGGACAAAGCTGAGTGCACAAAACCTTCTAACAACCCCCACCCAAGCCCACCTTGGAGCAGAGACGTACAAATTGCAGCTCTGGTCAGTTTATGTGGCAGCCATTATTTGCTTTAGACATTATAGCCCACATGTCCTGGCAACACCCCAAATGCAGCAAGTATCCATGTCTTCCCCCGCCCACCACCATCTCAGACCAGCCCTTCTTATTTACATCTCTCAGTGAAACCAACATTTTCCAACTCGCTCAGACTGGAAACCTCATATTCCCTCCCCCATGGTCTAGTTTCCTGCCGTCTTTCCGCTGCTCAGTCCTTCTTTTACGTTGCCAGATCAACCATCCTGGTGGATGCCCTCATCAACTCATACCAAATAGCCTCCTGTTGCCTCCAATCTCTCTTCAAAACCATTCTACATTCCACCAACAAATTAATCTCCCTAATCCACTTTTCCCATGCCCCTCCTTTTCTCGGAAGCTTTCTGTTCTCTTCTGTCGGCTACAGTACTAAAGGCATACTCCTTAGCCAGGCATTCAAGGTCCCCCAAACCTGAATCACTATTTTCTCTAACTTGCTCCCACTACTCCCCACCATGAACCCTTTTTACTGGTGAATATCAGCATACTGTTTGTTTATTTTTGTTTATCAGCCCATCCACTTATTAATTTCTACTTCTATGCTCTTGCTGACACCATTTGCCTTACCTAGAAAACCTTACTCCTCCATCTGCCTACTAAAATCCGCAATGACTAGTACTTCAAACCCATTCATGAATAGCCTAGAGCACGCATATGTTACATTCATTTAGCACTTAAATGTGTACTATTTCGTATTCCTCCAACTAAACTGTACATTCCTTGAGGGCAAGGCACTTCTCAGCCTGTCGCACACAAGGCCAAGCAGAAAGCTGTTAACATCAATCGACACTCAGTCGATGTAAGTTGAATAAATGAAGCAATGCAGAAAGCAATGACTTTTTGTGTGTGTCTATGTGAGGATGATCAGCCCTGAGCTAACATCCATGCTAATCCTCCTCTTTTTGCTGAGGAAGACCGGCTCTGAGCTAATATCCATTGCTAATCCTTCTCCTTTTTGTTTTTCCCCCCAAAGCCCCAGTAGATAGTTGTATGTCATAGTTGCACATCCTTCTAGTTGCTGCATGTGGGACTCGGCCTCAGCATGGCCGGAGAAGCAGTGCATCGGTGCATGCCTGGGATCTGAACCCAGGCCACCGGTAACGGAGCGCACACACCCAACTGCTAAGCCACGGGGTTGGGCCAGCGACTTTTTCATTTAAAGATTTTAATCTATTTCAGCTTTTGTTTGGTAACTCTTCAATATTCAAAAGCATTTCTCTAGCTTAGAAGAATTATGGAATAAAGGTGAAGATAATTTGGAAGAGAAGACAAATGCCCTCGAGTTCTTCCCTGATTCTCTTTTTAGTCATTTGCTATATACCACTTCATATCACATCAGGAGAATAAATGTCAAGGGTGGGGAAGGGGAACTTCCCAAGTCTCATATAATATAATTGTAAATACCAATATCTGGATGTGGAGCTAAATAAGTAAAATTGAACAGCTCATCCTTCTCAGAAATCTCAACTCAATCTACTTGGTTTTTTTTAAGTAGTAATTCCATCTGATGAGTACTTTAAAACATGTTTTGTTTTGTTTTGTTTTTGTGAGGAAGATCAGCCCTGAGCTAACATCCATGCTAATCCTCCTCTTTTTGCTGAGGAAGACTGGCTCTGAGCTAACATCTATTGCCAATCCTCCTCCGTTTTTTACCCCCCAAAGCCCCGGT